TACACAGCATATCTTGAGATAAAACTATTGAAGTCTCTCGAATTTCTTTTAATCAAATTTTATCCTAATTTAGGCCACAAATACGGTGGAACGATTATTCCCTTCTCAGATGAAGACTTACAGTCCCTAAAGCCTGATTGTGAAAAATGTCTTTGTGTATTGGGCGCTACCAAGGCCAAAAACGTGAGACTCAATCTTATTTATTTGTAAGCCTCATGAATTAAAGATCCATTTAGCTATAGATCAATTGATTACAAATTATATTTAACTTCCATTAAAAAAATTGTGGTTATCTCCCTTACATCTCGAAATAAATAATTTACATTCAAATATATTTTATTTTACAGGTTCCGCGTTATCTTTACGTAGGCAATAGCACGTTAAAATTTGTTGCTGATCTACCCAAGTCGTATGATCAAGTCAAAAGGAAGAAAGGCCGAAGCAAGAAGGATAGTGAACAAGAAGCGAATGACACAGATATACCAGATCATCCTTCTTTCAGGGTATTTTCCGCCCTTGTCCATGCTCTCTACGAGCTGGAGACCGTGCTCTTGGTCCGACGAGTTTACCTTCGAAATGGTGCACCACGACTTGGAGTGCTGATGCCAGAGTTAGCTCACCTATGCCCTGTTGCTACAACTATATATCTATGCCTTATAGGATCTATAAACACAACTTTTGTTTCATTATCTTCACCTTTCAGGGCTTATTTAAAGATACCTTAAGTCAATTCCTAACTAGTGAAGTCACTTATATTAAATTCGCCTCTGATAGTAAATTTTTAATGGATACAATATTAAAAGTATGGAGTTTGGGCTTATTTTATATGAATTAGAAACACATCAATTAAAATGAGAGAAGTGTTAGTTTTTGCTCGTTCTTGTATATATATATACTTCGTGCAATGAAAGCCATGCATTATTAATACCTAATTTTCTTTCTTTAGCGAATACAAATCTTATAATTTATTGCATATATGACTATGTTATTTAGCTTATCTAAAGGATAATTTCTAAAGTCTAGACTATGAGCTTCAATGACAAATGCAAGCAGTGTCCTGAACGTGCTTTAATATCCACATTTTATTTGGCGAACATTAAATTCTTAATAGTATAGGTTTATTTTGAATCAAGCGACCAATTCATATAAGAATAAAAGGAAAAATGAAGGAAGGCATCGGAAAATTTTATTTCCAAAGTAGCAGGGAATCAAGTATCTGTCTGTTTTTTTTCTAGACTCTATTGCCTCAATTATAGGAAATTGTAAGTTTTTCTGCATTTACTTTTGCTGATGTTTTCAGAATATATTTAGATTACTTCAAAATCCTAAATAATTCGCTTTAATCCACATGAGCGCAGATGCAGTTATTTAGCAAAGTTTACCAGATAAAAAGTCGATTATCGGTAAACTCCTTACTATTATTCGCAATATTTTTAAAGCTTCTTGAATAAGCTTTCACTGTTATTTATAATTTTCTTATTTACCTTAACCAAGGCCATTGGAATTTTAAAGGCATTCCTATAATAAGCTAATAGCCTCAGTAAAATAACTATCATTTTTAAGGCAAATTAATGCTAGGCCGAAATTCAACGTATGAATAAAAAAGCATTTTGCTATGCCACAATTATTAATAGTACTACAGTCTTGATGAGAAATAAGTGAACTAGGTTCGGACAATGTAATCTTTCTTCTAAAGTCTCTTTAGGTTGACAGCTCGATAAAATCTTTTTATTTTGATCAATAAATTTTATTTATACTCTCAGAAAAATGTACCTTATGGCTTGTACTAATTTTAGCGTTGAAAAA